GCATTCTAAAGGTCGGAGAGACACAGTGACTCTGTAAGAAAACCCATCATTTTGCAGTAGTCCCGAGACTTACTACGCTTTCGGCGTTTGTTGTGAGATCATTAAAGTTCTATTCATACTGCGAAGAGAGCAGCAACAGAAGAATTTCATTACTGAGTTTTGTAAAAGATCTGTGAGATTTATTTCTTTTTTTAAAATAATCTAGCCATGGAATGCAAATGCAACAAAATTAGCAAGAATGAGAACAGGGATAAGATTGGCTTGGCGGTGAAAACGGAGGGATTATTTACTTGACAGCAAATAACTGGAAGATATAACTTTCGATTCCAGTTTATTTGTAGACTGATTTAATACGCTCTGGAGAGATTGTTCCAATAAGAGTATTTGTAATCATCTAACACATCTGATTGTGGAGGCAACATTAAAAATTCGAATGAAAACTAATCTCTTCATAATGAAATATGTAATCTCGTAAGCTTGTCTTGAAAATGTTTCTTTACATATATTAAACTGCTCATGCCCTGAATTTTCAGTCCTTTTGTTTGTACAAATATTGCAATTGCTTCAGTTCCAGACAATTGTGGTATTTTCTTCACTTTATAAGCTAAATAGACTGCTCTGTCATTGCCCAAGACAATAGAAGACACACACGTTTCGTATTTCCTTTTCGAAGGAAGATAAAAACGGCGCACTTACTTATAATAACCGTTCGGCAAACTTCGAACATAGCTCCACATTGTGTATTTTTGGAAAATATTTACTTGCCCTCTCCGACTGCAAACACAACAATAGTCGTAAATGTAGCCGCATGACTTTAGACACAAAAATCCACCGGCTACCATCCAACTCCAGCGAACTTAAATTGCAAGCTCGAACTCGCGAACTTCATTTGGTTTTTGCATGGCGGTTGTGTTGTCACTCGTAAGTGACTGAATGAACAGCAATGGTTTGTTCGTGGAAATATTTAGTTTTTAAATTTCGTTTCAGATAGTAAGTTTCAGCAGGTGGCACAGTCACATCGTCTATGTACATGCGGCGCTAAGCAAAAAAAAACAAAAAAAAAGAGAAGAAAGACACGTAGTCTAATTTGCGCCGTGAGATTCAACGACTTTTTCTTCTTTTGAACACGGTGTCGAAGTAACACTGAACGGCATCGAAGGCGAATGCCCAAATCTCTTTAGAATTGGAAAATGAAATCTCCTCTACAACTGCCTAGTACCTTCGGTGTGCATATTGAAATTCATGAAATAAGAGCGTTTAGTTTTTGCGATAGTTTTTCTTTGGTGAATATTACTTTTCCCTTTGTTTATCCCGAAAAATTTATTACTATCAGGATATCAAGGCAAACTCAGTTTTTCTCTTTGTTTGCGGAGAATGGGAGCGCCACTTGTCTGCGTTTGGTGAAAACGCTCCCATCAAGAGATCTCCTGCTGCGATGTCAGTATAACGTTGACTTCAACTACGATTGAGCGCGAAGTCGGCAAAGTCAGAAGCTTTGTGCCGAAATGTGCCTTCGCATGGCATGTTTTAATTTCCACTTTACGTCGAGAAAGGGGAACTACTATGTTTATTCCGTAGTTTTGAGAGATGGGGTTCGCAGTTGATATGTCATTATATTTTATTTCATTTCACTTATCTCATCTTGTTAGGAAAGTTCTTCTCTTCTTGAGCTATTTAACTGGAAAGTGAGTGGTCGATGCTTTGAATTATACTGCAATAACATGGCTACAAACAGCGTTAACAAATACTGGTGTTGTATTAGATTCATTTGTTATTTCATGTCAGTCAAAAGTTTTATTACCCTTCTGTTGCATATGTGTGAGTTGCGAAACTAGTTTGAAAATGCGGCTTTTTCGCCGCCCGTTAAAGATCGCGTATATTCCATCTTGTGAGCTTAAAATGATCTTAGCAGAAATAACATCAAATATTTAGAAACGGTTGGAAATTGTAGTTTTATCTATTCACCGACATTTCTTATTTTGTCGGAGAATTCTTTTTAATGAGTTTCATCAAAACCAAAATTTAAAATATGAATCAAGTCAACCTTTCTGCACCGAGGCATTTATATATTAGGTAATGTGTCGTTGACATTACCACTTTAACCACTTTAATGCTAAAACTGAGAGTGCTACAGTTGGACATTTTATCAGCTAAGTCTATGTAGTTTAATTTTTTAAGCCGTTTTCTTTAAGCTTACAATTATGCATAATTTGAATTTCTTGCGCCACTGGCGTCCAAACAGCGCGCTGTCCAAGGATAGGAAATAAAATTTCACTGACTTGTAGTACTAAGCTGTGATTATATTGATCTCATTTTCGTATTTTGCATGTTAAGTCTTTTTTTTCTTTTAAGTGTCGCGAAAAAATTCTTTGATAATCATGAATGCTTGCAAACTCAGCCAGCTAACAAACGGGTGCAACTGCACTGTTTCACTAGTTAAAGTTAAGACGTGAAATAATTTTTTTTATAATTTGGAGTTTTTGTGAGGGAATTCACAGTGGCGAAAATATGACCCATATTTCACTAAGATTAGCAGGTTTTTAGACGTCAAAATACAAGTGAAGTTTAGAATCAATGTCGAACGTCGACGGCACCCAGATATATGCCTGTGTATTAAGTAAATAGCTTTGCTTAGAGACCTTCGATTGGAATTGAATATTCCCTTTTCATTTGTGTAACTAACAATTGAAAATGACAAAACTTTCAAACGAATGTTGTCGATCATATAACGTATAATATTAAACCTTTGCTATAGAGAAAGCACCGCTATGACACGGTTATGACATTGTTAAAGCTAAAAACCACGAGGCACTTTTTGAGAGGCAAAATGGTTTGTACATTGACAATTTTACAAAATAAAACTGAAAACGACTTTAACTTTTGAGAGTCTTTGTCCCAAAAACTAAATGGTTGTAAGACGTAAAAAGCAAAATCTGGTCGGAAACCTATTACCTTCCTTCACAAGAAAACTATTGTTCTTATCACTTATTCAAAGAGATTTTTCTCTCATCCTTATTAATTTCACAGCATTTAGGAGCTAGAGATGAGAGATTTTCTTTGTTTTTCATTTTCATATCATGTTTGTTAGTGTGATGTCTGTTTTCAACTCCCATATAAGTGGTAAAAGAGATATTTAGCTAAGGAAAGTTGCCAAGCTAGGAGAAAACATATGAAAGACAAAAGTGTTATTTACAAATAGTCCTGATATCTCTTACACTTAAACACCTACTGTCATTTAAAACGCTCATATAATTTCTGTTATCTTAATTCAAGGTCACTCCAACCTTTATTATTGCTATTCTACTAATTTATATTTTCTAGTTTCCTTTAACGCTAAAGAAAATTCCCCAATTTCCCAAAATTATGAAACATTTATTTAAGGCAGTTTAATGGCAAAAAGGCAAATAGATTCAAAAGTTTACTTTTCTCGAGATATGTTCTCGATTTTCAATTTAAACCCTTGGAGACGAAAGTACACTCTAATGTAATATAAACATAGAGTAAGCAATCTGCTTTAAGATGCGTTTCAGGATCCTACCAAATCAGATGACCTTACTCTTGCATAATCGTGTAGATATTTCAATCTTTAGCATTCTATCTTAATTCTAGGTATTTCTATTTCTTATCGATGACTGACCTAGGGGAAAAAATACCTCGGGCGAATGCAGTGATAGGTCAATAAAATCCCATATCATCCTCGCTAGCAGGTGCTCGGTTAAGAAATTTGAAATTTGTTTAAGGCAGGCAATACTCATAGGTCGAATAACAATATCTGTTATCAATAGGGGGTAATAAAGGAGGTTCAAATATGACAATGTGCAGTGTAGTTTTCACCTCTTTTGTCGTTTACGATAACAAAGTTTCCGTGTAAAACCTAACAGTATTTTCAATAACCAGACGGATTTTGGCAATGGGTCTTTTTAGAGCTTTTTTCTCCTTCCCTTTGTTCGCCCGTATTTAATTTCAGAGCGATATGATTTTGGCAGGTGTTCGGCGGTGAAATTGATCTACATCAATGAAAAGCCTTGGTTTTTTTATTGCATGACTCTCCAGGTGATCCGAGAAAGGCTTTCTGTTATGTTCTGACTTGATGCGGAACACGGGGTGAGGTAATATAAAAATCCACTTGAGTCCCACTGAAGAATGCTCGTAAAAACAAATTCGAGAGGAAGCCGCGAAGACGAGTCGGCCCTACGTCCATTTAGTTAATTTCAACCCCAGTAACTCACTTCCTTTCTTTTCATCCCACTGATAGGTCTATTTATATTTTATGACATTCTGCAGTTTGGGGCAAGAAACATCGCGTGAAAATAACGTATAACAAAAACAAGACTTCGTTACGACAGGGTATTTACCACTTTCGCATCGCACCATTGTTCTCATATTGTTTATCATTTTAGCCATTTCTAGCGTTACCGCAACTTGTAACTATTTTTAATTCGGCCACAAGATGGTTCGAAAAAAACATTACTAATGCAGTTTTATGTTTGTTTTTATTATTTTGACAGATTGCTTTAAAAATCGGAAGGTGTCCAACTGAAACCCGCCACAGCAACTCAGTGGTATTTTTTACGTCCAACGTCGACCTCATAATATATTTGACTCATAAGTTTGATTAACGCAAGCTCAGAAAAAGCTATTCTTAACTGAAAGCCAGAAATTACAATAAAGAGTTATTACAAAGCTCTCAGGGGTCCGTTTAATTACTCCACCCTCACGCTATTAGCAGAAAATGAAGAATCGTTTTGTTGTACCTCTTTTAATCTGTAGCGATGTCTTGCTGATAGCGTCTTGCATCCGTTTGCCAACAGCGTGAGAGAAACAATAAACATATTCCACGCCGCTGTTATTCACAACCCCGCCCAGATTAATTGGCGCTGCCAGTTCCCTTGCGCCAACCTCACGGGCACGCTGCTTTAATGATTGCAAAGACAATCGAAGCACTACCGCCCTAGAGAAAAGTCTTAGTGCGTGCCTTTAGCTCGGGAGGATTGTGTTTGCAAGAGATTAAAGAAACAAACAAAAAAAAAAACTACTGTGGATTAATTTTAAACTCTTTTTGTTCATACAAATCCAAGTTCGTAGTCTTAATCCTTTCGTGGCCTACTGGGTTGTTATGACGGTCTATATTTCCAAAAAATAAAAAAAAAATTGTAGAGACATGTGCGGCTAAAAATGTTCGTGGGTTAACGATGCAGTTGGAAGGTCTATGGCGTTCGGGAGGCGCACTGTTTAGTTCTAATCAAGTCTTTAATCAAGAAGTGATGGCTATTTTATCAGCATCTCAGTCATCTCAACCCCAAAGATTCTCCAGGACTAATAGAAATATCTTCAAGGTATTTTTTCATATTTTGATCAAATATTGGTCACTTACTGAATACTGTTTACACTACCATTAATGTCACGGCCCAAATTCCGTAAGTCCATCTATCACAGTCATGTTTAAAGAAAAATGGCTATGCTTGGGTAAGTTTTACGTTTTCAATGATAGAACTCTGTCTGTCAGAGTTACAAAAAGCGCCAAGCTGCCGATCTGTTGTAGGCAATTAAGACGAAAATTGCTTTTCTCCGACGAAGTGGAACTTTCGTCGCCTGCAAGCTGCGAATCTATGCGGCATTTAACTTTGTTAATATTGAACTGATTCGAAAAAGGTACATAGCTAAGGATTTTAATGTCGGCAATTCGAAAGTTGAAAGGTCCATTTGCTCAGTTACGATCGACTAGCCGAGAAAAATTGTAATTGTTCCACTTCCTTTTGTCCTTTCGAAGACTGAATTCGCTTTAAAGAAGCACTCTCGGTGAAGGTTAAATATTTATTTGTGATCACTTCTCTTTCACGTACCTTCGAAAGTTCTATTTTCACTCTTGCTACGGTACTAGAATCCTTGCAATGCAGGAAGCTTTACGAAACGCCAAGAACTCCATTAGATATCAACTTTTCCAAATTGAATTATTGTATATTAGACGCGAACAGTCTGTTGTTGAACTCGATTAAAGCCGGTTGCAAGGCAAAGATCCTGCTTTAAAAAACAGGCCGAGCTCCAATTTTATACTGATGTGCTCTGCTCTCGGTGGCACTCAAGTTCGCATTTATCTAACACTGTCTGAACTGTTTAGAACTGTTCAGAAAATCGTGTTCTAAAAACGTGTTTCATTTGTTACGCATCTGAGTAATGGAGGTGAGAGTTTTCCAATAGTAAGTAGCAACGGTTTAATACGGACTAACAGCACATACAAATTAGAGAAGAGGAAAAACATTCAAACAATTAAGTCTCGGAGGATCTAAAATTTGTTAATAGAACGTTTTATATAATATATTAACTGTTAATCCTTAAAGAGACTTGAGAAAAGGCATGTTTTTAACGCCTTTAATCAAGAATGTCTTCTGGGGAAGCTGCAAGGAACAGTCTAAAGTACAGTATTCCACAAAATTTGATTCGCTTAATTCAATTCCGTTGTTAATTACATTTCCATCTATAAGATAAGAGGAATATTATGTCTCCCACCAATAGCTTTCGGGCTCATAGAGGAATATATTCTGATAACAATTTCCCAGAAATGTAGAATAACTAGAGAACTCTATTTTTTGTCCAAACATGATTAAATTAATCCTTTCCTCATAATGAATCGCTCTTATTAATTGTTTGAACCCTTTTAAACAATTCCCAAAAGACAAATCTCAAAAGAAGGTAAACATTTTGGTCACTATTGAAGTGCTTACAGAATGATCATGTTTCTAGAGGGTGAAACATACGTTTTAACAGCTCGAGAGCACAAAATAATAAATTTTGTTTTACTGAGACACATTTCATATCTGTAAGGACAACTACGTTATATTCTCTTATATACATTCATCTTCGGAGACATATTTTTCCTACATCAATTTGTTCAGAGTAGAGTAAAACCCTCTCTAAAAATATACGCTTGAATCACTTTCACACCGACAGTGAAGGTTTAAAACTGAATCAAAATTTACTTCAGTCTAAACCTTGGTATTCTTTGTCAGGTATGGTTCAACGTTAGGCAAATTTAATCAAGTTATTAAAAGATAAGGAACAAATGTAGTTAAACTGAGAAGCGAATGTATAAAGTTTTGTCATATTCTTTAGTAAGCCAAATATTGACACCAAATTTCTCTTTAAAAAGATTTTTAAATTTAATACATGGACTATGACACAGTTTGTCATAAAGATAAATATCCTATCAGAGAGCATAAATTTTCCTTCAGTTCAACATGATCAGTGAATAACCGCTCAAATCTCACGCCATATTGTTATGTCCATAGCCATCGTAAGGATTCTGTTCCTACGTCACTCTCCTCACAAAAGCAATTTAATAACATTTCTTCCAAACTTTGAAGCCAGTCTAAATTTTAAGTCAAAAAAAAGAAAAAAACATTTGTTAGTTTTAAAAGAGAAAAGAAAACGGAGTTGAGCCAGGTAAATTAAATGATTAGTACTGGACTTAATTAATGAAAGCAACACTACGTAAATAAAAAAAAAGAGAGAATGCAATCAGACTAAAAACGTTCCCGTAACGGAACATAAAGTTATACACTGCCAATTTTTTTGGATTTTCGTTACACTGAGAAAATTTGAACATTTGAATTCAGTCGAATTGGAGGCGTAGTCGACATTCTGCAAAAGTCACTATACAATTTATATAACCCCTGTATTCTGTTGTAATATCTTATATAAAAATAATAAAGATCCTTTCTCACTTCTATAACTGCTACAACTTGAACTTTTATGTTTTTATTCATCGATACGTATTTAAATTTACAATGTAGCTCTCTTAATTTATATAAAAAACTATCCATCAGGTAACTCCAATTTTTGATTTGTTTAAATTTTTTTCCTGCCTTTTCCCATGTTCCCTGAAGTTATGTGCACTCTAATGTTACAAGACTATACGTCTACTTATCTCACAGACCTAAGATTGAACAGTCAATGATGGAAAAGGCCTTTGATCATAGCCTCCCAAGATATTTTGCTGTTAGTTTACTTTTCTAATCCTCAGCTTGTATGGACGCTTAAGCACAACACTTTTATGCTCTTGATATCTCAGTGACCCATCCTAGGAAATAATTCATACCCTTTGAGATCCCTATAACTATTTGATCAATATGACACAAAAGTCTGTTTCAGTCTTGCAATGGCTCTTAGGAGGGGGCTAATTTGGCAACTTTTGTGTACAAAAGTTCAACACTAGCCAAAACTAAAGTGTGTGAATTACTGAAAAAGGTGATAACTCGAAAGCTATATCCACATTGCCTTCATAACACCATAATATTGTGGGAATAGAATGCTTTATTACATTCTGCAGCACATCCCAGTCGAAAATCAGGATAAAAGCATCTTGAATGCTTTAAAAGTTGTAACATTTGTTGTTTACATCATCATAAGAGGGTTAATTCCCTCAAAACAAAGTAACTTCATCTATGTATCAATTTATGAAACAGTTCCTGGCTTCATGGTAAAATATCAAATGGTTGGAATCATCGACAAATGCGCCTCTACAAAAAACAGTGATGGGTAATAAAACAGACAAAGTAACACATATTTTAGAGAAAAAATATCGAAAAATCAGTAGTTGCGCGAACAAAAGAAATTCCAGGCGACCGTGCAAACGTCTGGAGACGAGGAAAAAAAAGAGAAAATAACTCGATCGTGTTTGAACAGATAAACATCAAGCTTTCGTCGAACTATACATTCAATAAGAATAACTTTTAGAAATGTATAATTTTTAGAATTGTGCTTTGTTCGTTATATAGATAAGAACGCAGTACTAAGGGATGACTGGATCTTTTTAACATTTTGGGATTCAACACCACAACTGAATAATACTTGCATTACGGTAGTTAAAACTCATAACGTAACTATTCCTTTTTTTCAATTTACGAGAAACCCAGATAGAGATATATGAAAAGAGAATTCCTAGAGGTACATTAAGGTCTTTCTTGATTGCTTGAATATGAAACTAACTGATTTGGACCCTTCTATGAAAGTAATTTCAAAAGAATGTTGCCATTAAAGATTTAAAAGAAAAAAATTAAAGTGCTCTTTCCTTTCGGGAATCAAAATTGACACCAGATCACGTCAAACCTCTTCCAATATCACCAATTCACTTCTGCCATTCAAATGTCACACAAAATGAATACTTTTCGACGCAAGCAAATTAAATAACGAAATTAACTGTGCTCTAAAAACAAATTTCTAACACTAACACAGGTCGCTATCTCACTCTTTGGTGATGTTGCAGTAAGGCATCATTATCTTTGCTGCACTTTTGTGTGATGTGACATCTCTGCACATCATAATTTTTGTTGCACTGTTTGATGATGCTAAAAAACTGCACATTTCTCATTTAATAGAACTGCACATTTATATCTTACTCTTTGGTGATGTTGTAATATCTTTGCTGTGCTGTTAGGTGATGTTGAAGCTCTGCGCATCTTTTTGTTGTTCCATTTGATGATGTAAAAACACTGTGCATCGTTATTGCACTCTTCGGTGATGTTGCAGTAAAGCATCATTATCGCTGTTGCACTATTGAATGAATTACATCTCTGCATATCATTTTGTTACACTGTTTGATGATTTAAAAGAACTTTATATTTCTCATTTAAGAGAACTGCAAATTTCTATCTTACTATTTTACAATGTTACACTATTATTTTTGCTGCACTGTTGGGTGATGTTACAGCTCTGCGCATCTTTTTGGTATTCTGTTTGATGGTGTAAAAGCGCTGCTCATCGCTATCTCATTCTTTGGTGATGTTGCAGTAAGGCATCATTATTTTTGCTGCACTTTTAAGTGATGTTACATCTCTGCACATGATTTTGTAGCACTGTTTGATGATTTAAAAGAAGTGCACATTTCTCCTTTAATAGAACTGTACATTTCTATCTTACTCTTCGGTGATGTTACAATAATACACCATTATTCTTTTCTGCCCTGTCGGGTGATGTTACAACTCTGTGCATCTTTTTGTCGCACTGGTAGATGATGTTAAATTACTTCTTAAGCTTTGACGATGTATCAGTAAGACTCCATTACTTTGCTGCACTGTTGGCTGATATTAAAGCAATATTACTCTGTTTGATGATATAAAAACATTGTGTGTTACTATTTTATTCTTGGGTTATGTTACAGTACTAGTAAGACACCATTATATTTGCTGCACCATTGAGCGATGTTGCAGCAACGCGAACCTCAATGGTTGCGCTGTTTGTTGATATAAATGTAATGTGCATCACTGTATGTCTCTTTGGTGATATTATGGTACGAAGCTGTCTCTGAAGGGGACGCTGTTATGATGACTGCACTGCCTTTTGGTTAAAACCAGAACCAAACTTAAGACTGACTGAGTACCTTCGCTGGTATGCAACTTGCTCCTGGAGCCACAAGATGAAGATGTTAAGTGAACTGTTGGGAGGGAGAGCAAGTGGTAACTTCTCTTTAACTCTTTGCGAAGTTTTCAAGACGCCAGACAGACTTAGGGAAATTCTGCCAGACTTTTTTAAGTTGACTTCACAACATTTTCGATGCATAAGCCCTTTTATTACACAACTAAGTTAGTTCAAAGGAAATAACCAAAATGCACCAATGAGATTGCTCCATTGCCGGTACAATAGTCTCTAAGTATTGAACCGGACACTGTCCCAAACGATCCCACACGATCACCGGTCTTGAAGATTTTGTGGAAGTTTTATGGCTTACATTTCTTAAAGAACTTGCTTTTAATAGAAGATTCCATTTTCTTTTTCTACATTCTCTCTTTGTGTTCTAGTTGTTTTAGAACATCAGACGCGAGTATACGCCTAGTCGGCTTCTCAGTAAGAATTGCGCCTTTGAAGCGTGCGAAGTTGTCCTGTCCATGTTTTTGTATATTTTTTCTGAACATTTAAAGTCATATAATAAATCTCTTACTGTTACCTATCTTGCTCGGGACCATGCTGGGCCACTAACCCTCTGATCTACAGAGGTTATGGATAATAACCCCCTCGAAGCTTTTGCAATTTCCATTTGGGGGGTAATTGTAATAAACCATTCAGCCGGTGTTCATTTGTGGCTCGCGGAGGTTCTGACGCTACATTACCAAAGCAACCGTATAATGACACGCGGTTAAGCTATTTTTCTTCATTTTTTCAGAGTTCTCCGTGGAAATCATAACTTTCCATTTTCCTTGATTAGCATTGTAACATTAGTTTCATATTCCATCAACTTAAAACGTTTTCACATGACGTCACAGCAGCCACATTGGTGTCTTAAATCAATGAAACAGGGGCTGTGTTGGTACTCCAAGCCAGTACTGTGGGATTTCAACACTTTTTTCCAACAAGTTTGCATAGCTGTTGGCCACGTTAGTAAAACGCTCTATTGGAATAATTTGCTATCAATTCACATCATGTTTTAACTTCTTGTAAAATACCCGGATCTAAGTCATTTGACGTCATAAACCAACAAAAAGCCATATCTCTACCTTAAAGAGAAAACTAAGGGTGTTCTAATAAATTCTATGTAATTTTCAGCGGTCTAGCAATCTCCCAACCAGCCCTACACCCCACTTTGAACGTCTTATATTAATATGCTAACATTGTGGGGAGTAATAATTTGTTTGTTCTTCAGAGAGTGTTTTTATAGATTTGGCTTATGCGACGGCACTACGTATCTACATCTACATCTACATTATGGGGGTCTTGCAAAGGGAGGCATGCTCCCATCACTGCAAGACATTAAATAAAAAAATAATAAAAAGCAGAGTGGGGGGTGGGGGGTAAAAAAACCTTAAAAATATATAATAAAATACGTATCATCCCCTCTCCGTTTTACACATCAACTAATGAAAGATTTTTCTAGCAAGACTGTTTTTATCATTGGTTGAAATGTTGGGTGATGAAACAGTATTGCAGCTCTTCCCTGACCACTTTAGATGACCTTTTAGCATTATGGGCTTCTTAGCCAACTGCTCATCGGTACCGTTGAACATTGCGCGTCTCTTTGATGTATCGCTTGGAAATTTTCACTTTTTTACCTTAATGATGTTACAGAAAGGGGACGATCTTTGCTTATTAGCCGGGTGAGAAATTTCTCTGCATTAGATTCGTTTGCAATGTTATGGCAAATCACTTTGTTACAGTATAACTTCCTACCTTTGTTCTACGGTTTGGAGATCTTCAAGCACTACGCTTTTCTATTGTGGTGAGCAACATTAAGTCACTTTGTGTCTGTCTTATTGCAGTGTTTAGTAGTAGTTTTGTTTAGGCCCTGTCGCTATCCTGTTCCACTATTGCAATTTTATAGGAGCTACCCTTCCCGTTTTCGAACTGTTTTGTGCGAACATTTAGTGGCGTTGTTATCCTTAGTAATGATATTAGTAATGCTTGTCTGTTTTGCTGTTGGGGCGCTCCTCTTGTATTGCTTGGCAATGTTACAGCACAGACATCTCTGACTCAAATTGACTTTGATATTTGGATGATTTAGCAATAATACTCATCGCATTATTGTGTTTATGAATGATGTTCTTACAATGCACAATTCTTTGCAGTACTGTGAAATGATGTTACAGCAATGTACATGACTTGGTTGTTCTGGTGGGTGATTAAGGAGGAATGCCTGTCATTTTTTCGTACTGCTGAGGTAGGTTGCAGCAATTTGCATGATTTGTTTGTACAACTGTGTGAAGGTGCAACATTCCACATGAAGTTTTCGCATTTTTCGAAACTGAAGCAGTTTGCATGCCTATGTTGTACTGTTAGGTTAAGTTGTAGCAATATGCATGCCTACGGTGTACTGTTGGGTTATGTTTTAGCAATATGCCTGACTTTGTTGCACTGCTTGTTGAAGCTGAAGCCATTCGCATGACTTTGTTGTACTGTGGATGAAGTTGCAGCAATATGCATGACTTTGTTGTACTACTTGGTAAAGGTGCGGTAATGCGCATTTCTCTGTAATGCAGCAATGCGCATTTTTTTGTACAACTGTGTGAAGGTGCAGCATTGCGCATGACTTTTTCGCGCTTTTTGTCGAAACTGAAGCAACTCGCATGCCTATGTTGTACTGTCGGGTTAAGTTGCAGCAATGTGCATGGCTATGGCGTACTGTTGGGTTAAACATGAAGGTGCGCTATAAAACGACATAAGCTCCTCCCCCTAATTTTGAATACACCCGAAAAATCCTTGCTTTACCCTCTGACAGTATTCTACAATACCCACGGGGATCGGACTCGACATTACAAATACAGTTGAACCCCGCTATTTCGAACTTGCAGGGGAAACGAAAAATTGTTCGAGATAGTGGGAGTTCCAAATAGCCCATAGTAAATAACTGAAGAGCAAATACAAGGGAAATGGTTTTGAGTTCCAAATAACGGCGAATTCGAAATAACCGAGTTCGGATAGGCCATATTCGAGTTCTCGGTATTGGACTGGAACTAGCTTGCAACTGAGGCTAATGCGGGGGTCTTTGCAAATGCAAATGACTCTAATCACTTTTTAATGATATTTCCCCGCACAAGCCTCCATTCCAAGTTAGTTCCAGTCCAATACCGAGAATACGAATATGGACTATTATGGGGTCCAACTGTAGCCGGAACAATTTTTCGCATAGACATTGCGAACAGTGGAACAATATCAGTTTATAATCCTCTTGTAAACATGATTCCTCGAAATAGAGGCACGTAGAAACACCGAAGACACTTTAATTCACTTACAGCTTACATTTCGTGTATTCAAATCGCCCGCCGTTTTGAATTTGTCCCTCGCACGTCAACGGTGACTGAAAAATGAGCCTTGGTCTTCCAGGGAAGACTTCCTTATACAGCGGAGCAATATGCATGACATTGTTGTACTGCTTGTTGAAGCTGAAGCCATTCGCATGACTTTGTTGTACTGTGAATGAAGTTGCAGCAATATGCATGGCTTTGCTGTACTACTTGGTAAAGGTGGAGCAATGCGCATTTCTCTATAATACTGTGAACCGATGTTACAGCAATGCGCATGACTTCTCGTACTGGTGGGTGCATGAGAAGGACTGCCCGTCACTTTGTTGTACTGCTGCGTTAGGTTGCAGCTATACACATGTTGTGAAAATGCAGCAATGCGCAGGACGTTGTTGTGTTGTTTGTTGAAGCTGTAGCAATTCGCATGACCATGTCGTACTTTTGGTACAGCTGTAGCCGAGCGCATTACTTTGTTACACTGCTTATTGAGGGTGCAGCATTGCACATGACGTATTCGTACTGTTTGTTGAAACTGGAGCAATTCACATCCTTTGTTGGACAACTGAGTGTAGGTGCAGCAATGCACATCGTTTTGCTGTACTGTTGAGTTAAGTTGCAGCAATGCGCATTATTTTGTTTTATAACTGGGTGCCGGTACAGCAATGTGCATGACGTTTCTGTACTGGTGGGTTGATGAGAAGCAATGTGCATCACTTTGTTGTACCACTGAGTGTAGGTGCAGCAGTGTACGTCACTTTGTCGTGCTGCTGGGTTAAGTTGTAGCAATGCGCATGATTTTTCTTATACAACTGGGTAAAGGAGCAGCAAAGTCCATGAATTTGTTCTACTGTTTGTTGAAGCTGAAGCAATTTGCTTGACTATAGTGTACTGTTCTATCACGTTGCAGTAATGCGCATGACTTTTTTTGCACTACTTGGTGAAGATGCCGCAATGCCGATGACGCTTTTGACTGTTTGTTAAAGCTAAAGTAACTCTACTGACTTTGTTGCACTATTAGGTGAAATGGCTGCAATTCGCAAGAATTCGTTGGATTTTTGAAGGATTTACAGCAATTCACATAACTGCTGCACTGTTGGGTTACGTCTTTTTCTTCTGTTGGTTTAAGGTGCAGCAATGATCATCACGTTTTTATACTGCTGGATAAAATCACGTTAAGGCAATGCACACTAACTTTATTATACGCTTGCAGGCAGCGCAATTGCAGGCAGCGCATCATCTATTGTACCGCTGGTGATCTATTTATTTGTTGTTGTTAATGTTGCTTAGGGAAGTTGCACCAGTTTGCATCTTTTTCTCACGTTGCAGCAATACAGGCGGAAAAAGGCATCTCATTATTGTACCGTTAGGCATCTTCTTGCTGTATTGTCGTTGGATGACTTTTATCTGCCACTTTGTTGTACTTTTGGGTTACGTTAAAGTAATCCCGTGAAGTTTGTGATGTTATAGCGGTGCGCATCCTTTTGGTACTTTTTTTTTTAGCGTTGTTATAACAACGTGCATACCAGTGGTTCCCTTGCGTTGTATTGTTTAGATATGTTCAAGAACCACGCTAGTATTTCTTTTTTTTTTTTGGAAATATGTAGGCATAGAAAATCCATTGGTTATACTGACTCCACTGTAGAGTCCCTTCTTCGCGAGATTTGTACTTTGGGAGACCCGCTTGATGAGATTAGTGTAGACTTCTTGTTCCTTTTGACCGCATGAGAAAGCCGAAATAGCTCAAGGTCACTATTGCGTTGGATAAGCCTCATCTTTGGATGAGCGTCATATGTCTGCACATATACTCACATATGCTTAACTTAAATGTTTGCCAAGGTATATGTTCTACAGATAGTTTTGCATTGCTTCTTGTTTTTGTCAGAAATATTCGTTCGTGGTACTACTTGGGCAACACCTGGTTTAACTGTTAAAACCGTGCACCACGGTAGTTACTTTGCTTTTCTTTATTCACCGCTAATATCTTTACTAGACTGTTCAGTGATTTTGTTGGTGGTCAGGACCCCCATTTTTATACTTTTCGTTCGTGGCTTTGAGCTACATTGGAACCTTTTTCAATGTTGTTTTTCTATACGGTGGTGCTGTCAACTTATTGCCGAACCCGGTGTGGAAAAAGGGGGCCAAGACACTGCAGGCTTTTACAAACTATATTCGCAAAAGTGATATAACTCGCTTACTGGACACCGGCTGTAAGGGCTGCATCCTATGCTGCACATAATGCCCTTCAAGTCATTTATTTTTTTTATTGTATTAACATTAGTATTAGTATAGTTTTTTGGCAGTGTCCCCTAATTAGTATGGTGTTTTATTTCCAGGCTATAAGGTTTTGACACTTTAATAAAGTTCTCACTCACTCACTCACAAAGGACAAAATTTGACGCAAATTCTATGAATCGTCAGCTCGCTGATGATGTCTTTTTCTCGTAGTCTAAATGAAAGAGACAAGGAGTGTGACTACTGTCACTAGAGAGACCAACAGATCTTCACTTCACAGGTCATCCAATTCATCACAGGCTGCCCACTGTTATTATCACTATTTTTTCCAATGGATCATCTGAATAAGAATTTGCAAATGCAATGTGCCTCGTCCCGATCGTGAACCTCACCTCTGCAACCATTTTTTTTAAAACTTGCCCTTCAAGCTACCTCAAGCGAAAATATGGATGGAGTTTGTCTTCGAAGGCAAAGGATACCAAATTACGCAAAATGTGTGTTATTAGCATGTGTTGAATTCAAGAAGAAAACATTAAGCATCTTGTCAGGCTAAATAATTTAAATAAGAATTTATAACAGAACACGGCTACGATTATTGTCAACGCTTCTTTTAATATCATATAACAATTTATTTTGTACACATATTGAATCTTTGGACTCTTGTAGCAATCCAAATCCCTTCGCGTTTCTGTCAGATTTCGATTTTCGACAGCTGTAATCGATTCCATGTGGCAATTGTTATTAATTCAAAAGCTTCGTGGAGGTTTAAAGTTTGATCTCTTCCGTTTTTAGCTTGGGGTGCCCATTGTTCACATCAGCAATCTGCGGCCACCCAGTTCTCTTTGAAGTTAAAATTGGACGCAATGCACGAGGAAAGTCCATAAATATACTGATATATTTTTTATTCTTAAAACGCAAAGATTCTTATATGCATATCTAACATTTTTCCTCAAAGACCTCCATCGATGAACATTAGTTTTGATTTGTTAGCATTTTTCCAGGAACTTTTTCTCATCCTGAAAACAGCATTCATATGTTTGTGTTTTCGTGATGTTTATAAATAGATTATTCTTTATTTTTCAAAATGCCAATTCATGGACGAATGATGTATTTGCGAAAGGAATGTGTGTTTTTGGAATGATGTTCTGGGGAAAATCTATTTGAAGCGGCATTTTATTTGTAGATCATATCTTGTTTGTGGTATGTGTGTGATCAGAATGATCTGAGATAGTCCGAGGAAACTCAAAATTGTTTTGTTTTATGAGAACTGTAGTCGCACGCAAACCCACACTGTTCGTAAATGATTTCCTTTTGTGGAAACCTTCCTTAACATAACTATATCATTGCATTTCTGAACTTGTCCACGACTTTCACTATTCAAGCAAGAACGTATAACCTTAAGTCAGTCGCTGTTTTGGATGTGTCTTCAGTAATAACTGGATATTCTTGTTACTTGAATTCCTTTCAACTCTCTAATTCACCAAGTTTCATTCCAGTTTAATACAGTTCTGAAGTTTGTCTAGAGCTGTACCAAAAATGACATACTTTTTAGATAAACCGTAGCATTAGGACTGCTTATTTCCTAGGCGCTGGCGCTTGAGTTATATATAAACAATCATAGTTTTGTTACTGCAGCGTTTCATCGACCATGTATTACCAATAATCGTTGCTAGGCAGTCAAATATATATTTTTAAAGTTATAGTTTGTAGATTGTAAATCTTTTTCGGCTTTGAGAGCGAAAATTCAGTTTCATGAGTCCTTGATGTGCTCTGTTTCCTTGAACGTTGCTATGACCGAGCACTTACTGATGTGGGTTTCCTTTTCTGTGAACGCTGCCTAGTCTTTCGTCTGTTTCTTCAAGTGAAGTCGAGCTTACTTAAAGTTTAAAATTTCAGTGATAAGATATCCCCTTAAAATCTGAAACTCTCCATGCTTGGCTGGGACTAAAGAAAATATCCGATAATCAAAGGTTTCCAACGAATTCATGACGAGATCAGTCGCGCTGTTTCTAGCTCTGTCTCATACAAAGAACTTCTAGCTCTGTAGTAGACAAAGAATTCAAAAGAAACCTCTTGCAGCGTAAAAGCGTGTTTCTGATAAACGCAAAAGAAAAAAAAATCAGAATTTTGCGGCAAAAGAACTATTTGTTAAACCAATCATTGATACTGATCAACGGGAAATTGCAGACCGTAAAATATTGAAGATCTTAGTACAATGTTTTTTGCCCACATCTAGGTTGATGATGGCAGGTACCGCGGAGTATTAAGACACACTCTGCTCAGTCGCCATATGAGGCAAAATTCAACATGTGTTGGATCGAATTGGGAAGCATTCCCTCCCACAGAAACTAAAGGGAAAATAAAAGGGTTGAACTGTTAGACGCTCCGCTAGTTGCCGGTAGCTCTCGACCGGAGAGCTTTTCCGGCGAGGGTTGTGAAAATCTTGAATGTTAGAACTGGAGGGATTTTATTTTCGGTTCTTGTTTGAAGGCATGAGTGTTAAAGGTAAGCCGGGATTAATACAATCGGTCCTTTTTAGGGAAAAAAAGCTTTATTGGGTTTTAATTGTCAAAGACTAGGAGGAAGTGATTTTTTTTCCTTGTTTGCTGGGAGCGTAGGTTTATAGTTTGTACGGAAATGCTTTATTTGATGCAGCTTAACAATTAAATGGCCGCTTGCCCAAATGGGAATTTGTTTGCTGGCCGAAAGAAATCTATAAAGGGACAATTTGCAGATGTAACGAGGCAGATTATAGATAGATATATATATATACCATATCATGGCACTCAGAACTAAAAAGCAAAGATGTTTATTGAAAGAATGAGTACGCACAGATTTTGCATATTCATCTTTAGAGGCTTTAGTGAAATTTAACAAGAAAACATGAAGAAAAGACGTGAATTCAGCAGGTGTTCCATGATTCGGTGCATAAGAAAAGTACAGGGCGAGGCTACAGCGCCAGCCAAATCTGTATCGTTGTCTCATCATGTTTTTCTTGGTATTAAAGTTATTTGAAATTATTTGCTTTTCTGTTAAATAGATATTTATCACTTTTGCTGGCTTGTTTCTTTGAACTCAAAACACGTGGTAGCCAGCTTAGAACGATTGAATGCTTCTCGCTGCAGGATAGTTTTTTGACGTTCTTTTCAAGAATTGTAAAGTTGAAATGAAATTAAATCAGTAGGGGACACTTCTTGGCACACCTTATGCTAGCCATAAAATTCTCTTTAGGGAAGAGTGCGCCTTTGAATACACGCGTCCCTGTATGATGATAGCAAACATTTTTATTAAAGTTACTGACAAGATGGATGTAATGATTGTTAAACAGTGTTAATTGTTTACTGCAACCTTTGTTATATCACTTACCGTGAAAATCTCCGCCTAATTCTACTTGGGCTATTTCTTGAAAGATATTACCATAGCAAAACACTCAACTTTTATTAAAAATGTTGTTTGAAATCGGATGTATGTGATGGATGAGGAAAAAAAATTATTTTTTGTACCTGTCCTTTCTCTGAAATAATACAGCACCGATTCTTTGCGAGCGGGTGTGGCGCTGGGGAGTTCTTTGTTCAACAAGCGAAGCATTACACCCAGACAGTGTTATTTCAGGCATGTTTGGCTCATTTAAAGCCATAAAAATCGTAATCTCATCTGTTATAGATTGCTTTTATTTTGAATGTCTATAAACTAAAACTGAAACAATTCATTGCTCAGAGCTCGAGGAGAAAATTTGCTTAGAAAATGAATTATAAATAAGCAAACGTATTATTAGATCTAGTGGCAAATCGGTGATTTGTGAAGGGAAGATTCACTCATGTTTATGACAATGTTAAAGCGCCAGTAAAAAGGTAATGGTATCTGATATGACAACAGTTCAATTTTCGTAACATGAAGATGGAATTCATGAAATTCCACTAAGTTGCAGTTTCTATGAAAACGAAATAAAATAAAACTTTAGAGGCTGGAGAACAGGACGAGGATAGACTATCTGTTAACTTTACTTCACTTCGCCGTCGAGTCTAGCTGTTTTGAATGTTATTCAGCTCTTCCGCTTTGTCAAGAGTAACTGCAGAAAAGAAAAGAACCGACAGTTTGGCTTACATTTAACGTACTGGAATCAGTTTAGTGTGGCTCAAAACCCTTAAAGACAAGCAGGCCTTTGTCAGAAATTCTTGTCGATCTGTCTTTTATGAGTCTATTTGTTTTGAATGTTATTGAACTCCTTCGCTGAGTCGAGATTTTGACAGAGTAACTGAAGGAAAGAAAAGAACCGAACGTTTGACTAATATTTAACCTACTGGATTTAACGTACTGGCGGATTCTTTGTTTGATTTCATACTACAATTAAACTATGTATTACTATTTCTATTAAGAAAATAATTATCGAACTTCCTGGGAAGTGGGATTTTTCAGCAGAGAAAGAGGTCCAAGATTTTTCTGCGATGGAATCCTTCACGATCTTGAAGTTTTTTGTTGGTAAACCCTTGAAAATGAAAAAATATCGATATTCAGTTAATGCACTTTATTTGTTATTCCATGTTCTTTGTGCTATGATTTGAACGCTTTTCTACAGAATAACACGGTAACCTCTTTTCCTATCCGTACAATAGTTCTTCTCTACTTAAACCATTGCCAATGGGACCTTCTAGACAATTGTTGTTGTTCGTAGCGTCATGTTCTGTACATCTGAGGTTTTAAGAAACACTTCTACAGGCGAAAAGAAAAAATGACATTAATCAGATTTGTTCCTTTTAAGTTCATTTTAAACATACTTAGTTATGTGAGCAGAGGATACGGTTGGATTTTATTCACGGCTATATACCTTTCATTCAAATAGAGAACTAACTACCTTTATTTTGATATTGAAATCAGTCGGGGCCAGGGAGCTTTCCACATTTCGTGTCAATGGTATAGGAGTGCTCCTATAGAAGTGCTCCTTGATATGTGAATTTGTTTGTGTCGGAAGATTTGAAACGGATGTTTACCCTTATACCACTTGCACAACTTGTTACATTTAAATCACAACGTTAATATTAAAAATGATGACTGAACTCTTTCCCACTCACAGAATCACGAAAATTTAGATGCACTATAAAAGCAACGTAAGTTAGGTAAATTTCTTCAACTACATGAAAGCTTACGCAGCGTGAAAAAGGGAGGAATTTACTCCTCAGTAGAGGTTTTCTAGAAGAATGTCTAACAAACATAACAGTTTGTCCAATCTCAAACCAGGCCTTGTTGAAATTGCAAATAAACGAGAATAGCTTAAGGGACATTTGAGAGAAAGTAGATTTCTTTTGATGCATTTTCCATGTGTACAATGGTATTTTATACAGATCACTTTGAGCTAAATCCTGTAAATAATTTTTGAAGCATATTTGCCAGACGTTTCAACTTTAAATCGTACTATTCAAGTTACAAGAAAAGGTCTGAATTTGAGCTTAGAATGAAAGTCGTATGCATATGCTGCAAAGTACTAAAAAATCCTTTGAGTTTCTTTTCATGAAAACGGAACTAATACTGGTTGTTTGGATTGGTATCAAAGAAAAACACACCACAGTTGTGTCACAGTGTTCAGGGGCTGGTGTCTCTCGACATCGTCTGTCTACAACACCACGGGAAATAACAACACGAAATAAAGCAACCAACCGTTTCGTTGCAGTTTTAAGGAAAAAGTATTCTAAATAAGTGATTCTGTGGTATGTTTCCAAGCATATGGGTCCAAATACCTCTAGAGAGTAATTCAGTTTACTGTTTCTTAATGCTTTTCATGTTTCTTTAGTCATAGAGGGCACGACACGAAACTGCCTGCCAGAATTAAGTTGGAAAAATAGGTTCGGCTTCTCCCCTCGGTGTCACTTTTTTTACGTTTATTTCTCTTATTTTATATGTAGCAAAAGGGTAAATTTCAGAGACGTCCGCGTCGGTTTCATATGGACGATTTAGACAGTCTATTTTCCGTACGGTTGAAAATTTGCTTCTCTTCGATGAGACTCCTAAATACGATACGTCCTTTTTCCACATTTCATTTCAAGTAGTAAGCAACAGAAACGTTTTTTCACTTTCAATTTGTCAGTGTTCGCTGATATACTTCATTGCGACTTCCAGCTACATCGAATTGTAAACGTCTACAACTCTTAGTCCCTGTCAAAATTAATTCGCTAACTAGCCTTAGCACGAGTGAGGAGATAGGTGGCACATTTTTCTCTCTGAACCAAGCATTTTGCTGTGGGATCCACTTTGTTGGGGCGATATCGTCTTCAGTTTGTATTTATTTTCACTAATAGCAGGGACTTTTCGATGAATAATGTTATCATATTGGGCGTTGTCGCGTTCATTTTAGACTCCACGAAACAGATGGCTGACCAAGATACCCTGACTCAGAAGTCGTAAAATAGCGGTTTAGCAGCAAATCTCTCTAGACGGTAAATCGCTTTGAGAACCTTCCTTTATTTTTTTTCTGCTTTGCAGTACACTTTGCATTAATCACTCCAAAATAAGCAAATCAAATTTTTTCTTTCAGAGTTCTTCCAATAAAAATTCAAACGCCTGTAAGTTCTGAGCGTTGGACGTGCATTGTCCTCTTTCGCGTTACAAAAGGATGAAATCTTCAGCACTAATTTAGAAATGTAGAGGCTAGCATTTGTGCATTTTATTTTTAAATATAAGTTTGGCTTTCATATGCACATGCAAACGTTTTTGTTCCTCGTATCATTCCTGAAAGATCAGCCTAAAGTCTTACATTTGCCCGTTGGCTTGCAAGCAGTAAAATCTATGTACCAGACAGATTATTTTCAAAGAAATGAAACATGGAAAGAAATGATTTATCTGGAATTGCATCATTCAGTGAACAAACTATGTAAAAACAAATTTTTGATACAATCAAGGGCCGGAAACTACGACAAATTATAAAAATGACCTTTACAGATAAGAAGCGATTAAACTTAAACATAAGGCAATTTTCAAATCCAAAAACTGTTCGAAGTCGTCACAAACATACAAGAGGACCTCTGACTGGCGCTTTTTTCAAGCAGTGAGAATAAACAGTATTTGAACCCGTTGGTATCTACACCGGCTTCAAAGGAAAACGGTCGGGGCGCTATATTTGTCACGAAAGGGCATCTAAGGACATAACAAAAAAAAAAAGCCTTTTTCTAAGACTCCTCTGCCTTTTGATATTTATTTCAGGTCTCTGGGAACAGAATCAACGTATTTCATCGTTGCATGTTTATAGGAAGAAAGCGAAAAGCTTCAACTATTCCGTGATCGAAGGACAAAAGGTTTACTGTATTTCGGAGCAACCGGTTCAAAGCACCACGGGGCGTCACTCCTGAAAAGGAAACAATTTCCGAGACAAGTTACAGCCTGCTCCAAATTAGTAAAATTTTGTACCTGTGTACAAACCAGTAAAGCCAACGCGTGAAATGAAACCTGCTATCAAGGGATGTCGCATTTCGAAGAAATATTTCATGCTATAAGATGGTCAGCTGAATTCATATTTAAATTTTGAAATGAAAATGGCTTCCAGAGATTTATTTCAGTCAACAAATTTGCTATTTTCACCTAAAAATCGTATACAGTTAGAGGTGGACTCGGCTGAGTTTGTTTTCTCATACGCTGTTACACTTGTGTTGTTTCATTTTGTTCAAGAAAACACAGTTTTACCACCGTCCATTTCAAATCTTGCTTTTAATATAGGATTTACTCGCTCCTTGATTCTGCTCAATTGCTCCTCTCTAACAGAAATAGAACGAAGCTTTACAACATGAAGAAACGACTGGCAGAGTTTGAAGAAAATCTATCTTCAAGGTAATGATCCATGTGCCAATGTTTAGTTTACTGAATTGCTCTTCAATTACCTACAAAACTGACAACTGGCAAGAGTAAAAAATTGGACAAACAACATGAAACCAAGCAAGATTTTTGTCGCATCAAGCTCTACATAAACTAAAACTAGGTTCCTCTTTTAAATGCTGTAGCAAAGTGTCAGCACCCATTGCACGAAATGCTTTGTTGAACGCCTGTGACAGAACACGTTGGTACTAACATAATTAGCCCCATGTTTTACAAAGGATTCCTTTACAACAAGTTGGAAATACATCAGAGCTTCCGGCAATCTTTCAGCAAGGAAGTTGGAACTTTTTCAACCTAGCTGGTAACGATATCCAAACCACAACTCGTGACTTGCTCGAGGGTAAACTAAACTATCTGTGTCTAATTTGCCATGGAAAAGTTTTAGCTGTCTACGAGTTGAGTTGTTTTGGCTATAAAAGTTTAGACTTGCTTTTTGTATCTAAGAGTGTTCGTCTGATTTATTTTAATATTAACATTGCATTGGCCAAAGCTGAAGATAATAAACGGTTAAAGAAAGAATGTTTTCTCTTTGCTTGAGTGAGGAGATGGTGTGTGTAAAAATAGAACGTGTGTCCCATTGTAGTGGATGTTGGACTGACATCCTTCTTCTGAATGTTAAAGGCAAACAGTTTATGTTGAAAGCTCATTTTACAGTTTGTGATTTGGAGAGAGAATTTTTCTGGTTTCCTGTTCTAGTTAGTGGCTAGTGTTCCAAATAATCATGTGGAACATGCAACTGCTTGGGTGATCAGCAATGTACTCTTATCAAAGTAATTCAAAAATTGGAATTCTTTGCTAAGCTTCTGTTTACTTGGTAATGGTTAAACCTGTAATTATCCACTTCAAATCATCATAAATTTGTATTTGGAATTTTCTAACCAGTTTTGTTCTGATATGATTTGAAAAATCCTTAGGGCCAAATTTGTCATCATTATTAACAGGGTGATGGTTTCAAGAAAGGAATGGCCACGTGCTATTGATGCTCCAAAACTGTCGATAAGTTCTCATATTTCGTCGCTTTTTTTTAATAAATTGACTACAGACTATCTATCTTCTAGTCACAAACTTTCGAAATACGAGGAATATTTTGTAGCAGGTAGCCGGCAGGAGAGCAATTTCAAGATTTGGTGACTCGACTATCAAATGTATCAAATGTCCATATTTATGCCAGCTGAATTGACTTAGTTCTGCTTTGAGTTTGCAGTGCTTGCAACATGTAATACGACTCTAAGGGAGTTCTTCCGGTGTGCCATGGAACTGTGCATATTGGGAGACGTAAAATTCTAGTCTTTTCGCAATCCCCTTCCATATTGAAACCAGATGATGATTATAAAGGGTGCCTGACAACGCGAAACCACCAGCAAGACCACAATACAGACTGATAAATCAATGTCTGAGAAAAGAAGTCTAAAGAAACTATATTTCTGTACAACTAAAACTAAGTACAGCCATTAACCGACGTTTTTAAATTTGTTTCTAACTTCTCTTAGTACAGAAACCACATATTTAAGGTGTTGTCACGGTCGATCTGTTAACTCACAAACTATATATCCTATAGATGAGTCCGCCGAACTGACTTCAAATAACTGAGGTATTCAAGCATGTCAAGCTTTAATCTGTTGTTGAAATGACGAAACTTTACCTTCATTTTCCAGTGGTTATCATTAAATTGGTGCCAGCTCTTGCTAATAATATCATCTCTCGTTTGTTTTCTATTTCCTGAGTCGTACACAAGACCAAATCGTGTGATGCACGACTTAAGCACACAAGCAATCGTGTATCATGACCGACAAAAGATTTCTGCCGCTGAAGGGACACAACGTAAATGATAATCAATGTGGCTCTTTTTTAAGACTACAGTTTTTCTACTGATTCTGAGATCCCAAAGTGCGCTTCAGTCGGAAGCAAACCAGTACTGCATTTAGTCTTATAAAGCCCTACTCCCAGCGTGACGTGGTATACGGCCAACAGCGCCGAACCGCATCACGCCTGGTGCAGTAGCCCTGTTTGCATCACAAGACGTTTTACTGCTTCTGAGCCCCTGACGCTTTATTTTGTTACCATTTCCTCTTCTTTATAGAAACAGTCTTTGAATTCCTTTGACCAGTAGAGGTTTTTTCGCTTCGATCAACGGCCCTTACAAGCCGGTAGCACGGTTCACTGGCGCTTCATAAGTGCGTCAAGCGGTATAACCGCTCAATAAAATACTGACCTATTTTAAGCCCTTCTTCAAAAAGCCTATTGTTTCTCTGAGTTTTGTCTTCGTTGAAAAAGAAAGTGTAAAACCGATTGATTCCCTTTGGGGAGAGATACGGCCCTTGTTATTTTGCAGTGCTTGTGGTCCTTGTCCGGAGCCGCGCTCGGCCGAGCTACATGAAATTTCCGAATTCATTGGTTACCTTCGAAACAGCCTTTGGGCAAGAATCATGGAGATTAAAAACACTATAATAAAGAAAATCCTTTGTAGATGCCGGCTTTTGAACTGATACAAACATCCCAGCCAGAGGCCATGAGATGCAGCCACAGAGGTAATTGGCTAAAAGAAACGGAGCTGTTTTGTTAGTTTTATTTTGATGTCTTCGAGAACTAAACAAATAGCCTAATCACGGCCATTTCAATCTCAATTTTCGACAGGATGGAAGTACTTGGCATCTTAAGAGTGGCAGAGATTAATTAATTATATATGCCGATTGACATAGGACGCAAGATACTGCCCTTCATAGTTCGCAAACACTAGCTTAGTTTTTGCCTTTTTGAACGGTTAGAAGCAGTGCGGTAATGTTCCAGTCCCAAGATGACCAATCAAGATGATAATTTGGGTCAAAATGTGACTGCTGCTACCTGTGTGTCTTCTTCTTTTACAGCACCCAACAACGATTTCCTTCGCCTAATAAACGTTCTTCCAAGAATTTAATTACAAATATAAATAGAACGCGCAACTTTCCTGTCTTGTGGTATATAATGTGCTCTTTGAATTCTGAGACATACAGTTCGTTGCGTGGGAAACCATAGAGTGTCATATGGCGTACCCTTGAAATGGCTGTTTAGCTACTTAGACAGCTTTCTTGAAAACTGGATGTACACGGGAAATTCAGGAAATATTTTAATTAAAGAAATCTTGTTTAGACAACTTTATTGTTTAGAAACGTTCAGTGACTTGCCAGAAACAGTGAATGCTTTATTTAGATCTTTTCTGTATAAAAAGATGGCATTTTGATTTTAAACTGCCAGGATGCTTATAGCAGCAATCATTGCATGGACGGACAAACTTTGTGAACAAGGAGACCTGAAGTAAACACATTGACTAATTTGAGACATATAACAGATTCCTCTCCTTTCACTGTTTTCTCTTTAATATCCCAGATGATGTCAAATTCTAAATATGTTATTTACAGTGCCGATTTAGAACAGGAAATATTCTCACATAAATAAGAAAATACTGTAAGTTTGAACTCGTTCTATTTTACGTGATGGATAGATCCAACCCGTTTTTGTCCTTGCGAAAGAAATCGGATTCTAATTTCCTCATGGTTTCCATTTCCGCACAAGATCAATTGTCTTTAACTTTCAAATTGTCAATTCTAAGCCCGACAACAATTTTTACCCAAATGCAATGTGGATTTTTGAAGCATTATCGACTAAAAACATCAGTTGGCCGATTTGACGTGTGCGTAGGTCTTTTGTGTGACACTTTACCGAATGCTGACCGACTAAAACCGTACATAAACAGTCACCATTTTGCCAACTGCGAATACAAAATCCTTCAAGTTTAGTGTGAAATATTTCAGCCATAGTCTAAGCATTCGTAAGTTTAGAGGCTATTCGCCTAAAAGTTAATTCCCTGTCGCCGATTTTTCTCAGCGACTGGTCAACACATTGTTTGCTGGATATATGCGACGAAAACGTCACCCACTTGCACTTGGTTGAAACGGCTGGTTAAATAGTTCTGTCTGGTCTCCATGTTAAAAGACCGGAGTATTTATTTTCTCCGTTGGATGTCAGTAGGACGCCAAAGGAGCTTGAGCGGTGGCAATATTTGCGCCATTGTCCATATGATAGTGCTCGTGATTCTGTGTCGATGGTAAACGATTAAACCACTCAGACATTGGTGGATAAGTTGACGCGGTGTGAAAAGCTGGTGAATTTGTCCTAGCGGAAGAAACGCTTTCATCTTGAGGACTTGACGAGCCAAGGGATTCTGAAGGCTTTGCATGAAGCTTCATGTGTTTTCGAAGGGAGCTCGGATGAGTATAACTCTTGTTACATCCCTCAACTTTGCAGATGTACGGTTTATCGGACGTGTGGACGTGTGAGTGCTTCTTTCTATCGCTCGAGTTTGCGAAGCGACGGTCGCAACCTGGATACTCGCACATAAATGGCTTCTCACCTGTGTGCGTTCGCTTGTGAATCTTTAGGTTTTCCGACCTCGCAAAGAGCTTTCCACAACCAGGGAACGGACATGAGAAAGGCTTTTCTCCCGTGTGTACACGAATGTGATTGATAAGCTTGTACTTGGCCTTAAAAGGCAGTCCATTACGAGGGCAGTCTTTCCAAAAGCACACGTGAGAACTGCTTTCCGGTCCTCCAACATGATCCTCAGAGAGATGAGCTACAACGTCGTGCATTCGAAAGAATTGTCTCCCACAAGGCTTTCCTTTGCTGCCCGGTTCGATCCATTCACAGACCACCACATGACTCAGAGGTTGGCGCAGGTAACTTGCAGGCATGGCTAGTCCCGGGTGCTGCATGAACTCGTAGCGAGGTGCAGCGAAAGGGTTCGCAAACTGTGAATGGTGAGCCTCGAATTTGTCGTCTCGAGGATAATATTCCACTGCTTTAGAAAACCTGTAAGGCCCGGCCAATGGTCCACCAGTTTGTTGAAAGTGAGAGCCGGGCGGGTCATGAGCGTGAGCAACGGAATAAAACCCGTGAGGTGAACCATTGGTAGCGTCTCGATGTGGCTCTTGCAGACTATTGTAGTGACTGGGATGAAGCTGGTGTAACACGGAGCCGGCGAACATGTTGTGTTGTCGCTGGTTGCTCCCTGCTCTAGCGCCAGTTGTGTCAGACGCTAGATTTATACCGCTGTTATGTGGGCGAACAGCTGCGACGCTAGAACTTGTGAAAGTGTCGGGCCCGGCGAATAGGAACTCGTGGGTCGACGGACGAGCGGTGGACCGCACGCCTTGAGCTGGCGTAAAAGGATAGTGCGAGCCATTTGGAACGTTGAAAGTGTCTTGCACTGTACTCATTCTTTTGTCTTTGACGGCTTTGAAGGGTCACTTACTCCACAATACTATCGCGTGAGAAACCGGACAGAAAACTTAAATGAATCAATCGGGTTGGCTCTTTGTTTAATTCACAGTTTTGTCATCCTCCCATGGAACTAAATAAGCATCTGTGTCGTGCTGGGCAAGTCGAACTCTTCGACTGAGAAGTGCACGAACATTCCGCAAAGCCTCTCACACAGCGTAGCGCGGTTAAATTGTAAAAAATGCGCGGGATTTGAACGCTGCTGTCGTAGTGGTATCCTTTGAAGTCGACTCGCCGTTCATCCAAGCATCTGTACTTGCCTGTGTTCGGAGCTCAGCGTGAGACCTCGGTCTATTGTAACTGAACTACACCGGTCTTTGATTGGCATTAGCAAGTTGTTGATATTTCGTTATCCAATCATCGCGTTAACGCCCCCGGGGTGTTTTGGTTGATAAATATTTTACGATGTGTTCGTCCTATCGAATCCAATCAATTGTTATTGTTTCAATAGCAGTCGTCTTATTTGAACAATCTCATTTGCAATCTAGAGAAACAAATGGAAAAATTCTCGGGTCAAACTTCGATAATAGAACCAGAAAGGAACGGTCAACCCACACACTTTGAGATTCTGTTTGCCACCTTCTTGAATCAAATGGGATTAATTTGCATTGTCAATATTTGTCCCGAGGTGCCGACATGTAATTTTCAAATATTTACCATTCGGATAAGGACGGTTTGATTAAGGGGAGGGAAGCACATGCCACCTCGAACTAAAGAATTTTAATTGCCTATTTTGACGGTTAAACGAACCAAATTCCCCCCTACAGAGCATTCATCGATCTGAAGCCTTATTGGACGTTATGGCAACCTAAGCCATTATTAATAAAATAAATGGTAGTGTTATAGGCTTCTCTTTACATGTCACAAACAAGTGAAACAGAATATCAACTTCTGTCAGATCCGTTTATTTCTCCTGTCAACAGGTCATGCGCGATAACGCACGCGAGTGGCCACAAGAAGTTGTCGAGAGTCGTGGGAATTATCGTTCCTTTCATCTTAATTGGATGATCATACTGTAAACGCTGCTCTTGAATGAAATGCGTCCCAGAAACCTCGACTTCTCGTTTGAGATTATAATTGAAAAGCCCCTCCTTCAACGCGATGTTATCGTCTCGGAGCGCGGAAGATGCGGAGATGTTCCATCTCCTTGGGTTAACCGCACACTTGAGCTAAATTGATAAAAGGCACTAGGTTAAGTTTGTTTGCGAATTTTCCGCGATTTGCGATATTTATTAGCACAAATCTTAGCTTCAATGGCGCTATTCTTAGAGTCGACGTTCTTAGACTCGACTCAGTTGACATGCCCTTTGTTGACAATTTCAAGACAAACAGATTTCAACAGGACCGATCGTTTGCTTGATTCGGCTCAGTAACGTGGAAGTGATACCATTGTATTTGGTTTCTTTGTTGACGCCGACCCTGGCGGCGACACCTAAGTACCGTTGACACTCGCTCGCTTGAAGTTTCACACATAACTATTTGTTATCCTAAGAGAAGTGTTAAGCCGTGATAGTGATAGATTCGAGAGCACTTAATTAATATGATATCATTCAAGTATTTCCCTTACACTCTACCGCACAGTGAGGTTTTTAGGTATTTTTAGCTTATCAATCAGCGGAGAAAAAAAATTATGTGACCAGTCGCTGCCGAAAAATATGCCTCTATTCATCACCTGGTCTACGTTTGAATTTGTCAATACCTGGAGTAATCAATAATTGTCGCAAGTATTCTCTATCGTCAGCTGTACAGTGTTTGGCTCGACCATTCACACTTGCCTTCCATGTACCAACAATCGATATTACCTATTTACCTTTTCGATGCTTCAAAACAACTGTCGATGCGAACCGTGATAGGCCTTTCTGGGAAAACAAAAACTAAGCCAAAAAAAACTTCGAGTAATAAAATTAAAATAAACCATTTCGGCAGGACGAGGACACACAAGAAACAAAGAATCTTCTTCAATTCTTTGACTAGAACAATGGGGTCAACCGTTGAAAAAATGATGACGATTTGAAGACCAAGCGTTCGACGACCCCCTGCAATTGATATTTGTTCAACCTGTGAAAACTAGCTGTTTTGATGATAGGAGGGAGGGAAAGTGGAAGGAGCACATCAACATTAGCATTTTAAGTGTCAAGACGACTCTCGAGAGAGGTCATTTTACCACTTAAGTAAATCCCTTAAATCTTCTGTCGAAGTGTCCAAATCAATTAGTTCCCTACGCCCCTTAAGACGATTGTAAAGCAATCTTCTCGAGACAATAACAATAAGAGCTTTCTTAGGCATTGAAAGCTGTGCTACAGGTACTAGTTAATTCATTTTGTCCTCTTAACCTTCTGCACTCGACAATTGAAGTGTTTTCAAGAGTTGCCGGTACTGATAGCGTCTGCTCCACTTTGCGTGACAAGCAAAGAAAAACATTGAGCTCGCCATGAACGCAAGCCAAGGCAAACTTCAACAACAGCTAATCAATCTTTTATTTGATGCCCGCGCTAATTTCCATAAGCGAGAAATATACATATCGAGTCAATCTTCGTGAGAGTAAACTGCTGTCAAATTAATTCGCGTTCAACCAGTTTTTCCAAAATCGAAGTTCGATCAAACGCAACCGCGCTATGGGGTCTTCTGGTAGAACGCTTCAAGCTGTGAACGCTCAGATTCAATAAGTCGCGATGCAAATTTGCAAGATATTTTAATTATGCCTTACAAAAGAAACGTGGCCAACGCGGAGTTTCCTGTTAATATAAACAGAACAAGGTCAAGGATGGAATCTTGTACATTCTTAATTTTTTTTCAAGTTAAAACGAAAGATATGAAAAATCTAGTGCGTTTTTTTTAAGCACGATGCAAGACTTTATCTCGTAAAAAGAATAAGGAGGAAAACGAAAAAAAAAATTAAATCTCATGGATCCCGTTTTTTTGTTGTCGCTTTCCGCCTTCACTTGTTTTTGTTAGCGTTACCAAAATAGCCGGAATTTGGCATTATTGCGCTCTTTTTATTGGCTCTCTCATTTTGCTTTGATTTGCGCAAAAACAAAAAAGTTGGAAACTCTAGTTTGATTTCTTTTCTGCAGGAGCTGATTTGCAATTTTTGGCGTGGAAATGAAGGGAAATGAAGAATGGATAGATTAGATTAAATTTCAGTCTCTAATGAAGGAAGGAATATCAGGAAATCATATTCGCAAAAACGTCGAGAGTGTAAATATAAATTCTTTATTTTTCCTTTGTCTCGTGCTGTTTGCGCCAAACATGTAAGACTGTATTTTGATTTCAAATCAATTGTTCCAAACTTTGTTTACACTTAGAAGCTCATATCAGAAAGCTTGTTGAAAGATAGATCGAAAACCACAATCACGAAAATTGGCCTGAATTCTACGACTAAGAATCGATAGAGAGGGACAGACGTCCTTCTTGACTGCTACTAACTTGTCACAAAGGCTTACAGTGATTTCCTTGGAGACTATATAATTATTTCAACTTCAGAGTCTCTCAGATATCGCGTGATTAACTAATTGCTTTTTACATGGTTTGTTCTAAATTTAATTCATGCTTTTCAAGCATTTTGATAACCGTAGTAACGTTTACAACACCAGCTCGTGGATATGCAATGCCGGCGGCTAAACACCCTGGCTGTTTTAAAAAAATAGAATTTGAGAAACTATCCCTGAGGTCATATGTGCTTGAGCAGGCAAAAATGAACCGGAATTAACTAATAGTCGTAGAAACTACGTATATTTTATAAGCGACGAATATTCACCTCAAGAACTGTGTCATTTTATACACCGCACACATATATTAACCATTACGTAACTGAGCTTTTTAGAGCTCGACACAAAAGTAACAGTTATTCCTTTTAAATTTTGCCGTCAGTGTGAAGCTCAATGAATATGCCTATTGAAAGCTTTAATTTGTTGACATTCAACACAGGAGGGGCAGTTATACGCAATGGTCTCTTATCTGGGATAATCCCATTACTTATTGCATGGGAGGGCCGCCGGAAAACGTCTAATTATAACAGTTATATCTATTCACTCTGGTTGTCTCAGTTCTCTTTTCCATCCATTTTAAACAAATTAATTACTTTATAATTATAACCTCCAACTGCTTAATGTCTTCCTTCTATTAGGTGAGTACGCCATAAATGGAAAATTTAATGTGAGTGGGATCTGTATTTGCTTTAGCGGGTTATTTAGTAGCTATTTTAAGCTAATACAGAGTACTTTTTTGCCTTTGCAGGCTGCTTGACGTAAGCGATTAAACGATGACTTCACAAAAATGGATCCCTCAAACTTTACTCTTGCAGTAAACAGGCGGAGCTACTCAAGCCAAATATTATGGTTTACGTCTCATTTGAATGCCGCCAGTAAATATTTATGTGAGCGGCTGTTAAATAAAAACTATTTGCAATACAACTTGATGCGCTGTTTACTTAAATGGTCGAAAAGCAAAACATGTCATACCCCGGTCTTCTAAAGGTGTGTCAGAAAATGTAAGACCATTATCAATCCTTGAGAATATTTTCATAAACGTTTCAATTTTCGTTCGTCTCCAAACACTAATTATCGACTTCCAAAAATAAAATAAAAAATAATATGGATTGAATGTTGGTTTAACCACACGCAGAGATGACCATAACAAGTTCACACTTCACAATTGACGAATAAAATCAACAGTTATAACATGTTAATTACCACGACGACTGCGATGAAAAGCCTATTATTTTTTCTTATCTGCACCTCGTGTGCAGACGCATCTAGAGGCTAGAAAATCACGAAAAATTGTTGCGAAATTAACTATTTCCCGTCACTTATCTGTGTGATTATTGGAGTACCCTGAACCTTCTGTCTTTGCAATATGACAGGAAGGAAGAGGAAAATAACATTGCCCGTTCTAATGAATATCATTATCGTGTTGTCGAGTCGTTTTTGAATGGAATAAAAACTGTAATGTCACAAATTAGAGCTCACTCTCACCTGAGATGCAAACCAATTTAAAAATTAATAGGGGTTGACATAGGTGTTTAAATATCTGAAGAAATTAACTGATGCCTTTTGAAGAAAAACTGAGCTGAGGGCAAAATATATCAGATAAACCAACTTTATAGTGAAGAATTCTCAGTACACGTGGAGAGAGTAATACATTGCAACCGAGAGATCATCGTCTTTTGATTGCGATAGACCAATTTCGATATATTAAAATTCAGCCTAACACAATAAACCTCAGCACGAGGCTCTGGGGAATAAACCCCACAAACTCTTTAGTTATTCCCCAGAGCCTCGTACTGGGGTCTGTTGTTTTAGGCTGAATTTTAATATATCGAAATTGGTCTATTGATGCCTGAAAATGGAATGAACAACTCCCGTGTACGTTTCTAGATGTTTCTTATTATATTTATAAGGATGAATTTACACAAAGCGCCTATTTTAACCTTCTTTTTCTATTTCTGAAACCTGTTATGTGCCAGTTCCTGTGCTCTTGTTTGACAAGGTCATGTGACCTCCAGCTGCATCGACAGGAAGTGGTGAACGCGTACGGTGGTCCTGGGATGAGGTGAGCAGAATGGACACGCCTGCAGCCGTGACTGTTAACACATCGTCTGGTCGAGAGGAAATAATTTCAATCAGTTGTTTTGTTTTTCATTTATCTATTAGATGGAGGAACACGACAAAGCATAAAACTGGCACAGTTACATTCACATGCAAAAGACTTTCGTCCCTGGCTTATCTTAAAAATAAAAGAAATAAGCTTATTTATCTTCCTCTCGTTTGTTCAGCGTAATCTTGTTCCAGCCTTGTTCCGTTTTAATTTGTTATTATTATCTCTGAAATATTTCCACCCGAACGTGTTATTATCCTTTGAAGTTTGGAGGTAACTTTGTACATTATAAACAGGCTAAACGTAAGAAAACCGAGGGAAAATTACGTTTTCGAAAAAAAAAATTCTTTTAAGAGAGTTAAATATATATTTATCCTCGCAAAATCATTGCATTATTAATCAGACGGGTGCGAAGAGAAAATAACACCATCGACCTGCCGCGGTGACTAGAACATTCTGAGAACTAACATAACAAGAAACCTATGGCACTAATTAGAGAAAGTTTATATCTCAAGTTTGCCAACGGGTTAAGATCAAATCGAAGTATATTACAATACGGTTCTTATTAAATGACGACCTTTGAGGAGACAACAACTTTCCATTCAGATCGATATTTTCAGTTGTTTGAGAGATTTTCAGTTGTGTACTAGTAAATTTGCAATCCCTTGTTTAAAAAGTTCCTGTGTTTTTTTTTGGTTTTTAAAAATAGTTGAAAATTTTAAATGCTCACTCTTAAGAGTGACGTCATTGCAAGCAGTAGACTAACAATGACAACAATACGTCGAGCTGTGAAGATTATTCTACTGATTGTCAAACCCAGCACGCGGTATTTATACAATGGTTTCTGCCTCAATTTTCACAAAAATTCAAATTCTGTTCTTATAATGTTAAGGTTTCCAATGGGTTGTGATTCAGAAACGCTTTCTATAGAACTACGCACCATACTGTTTTCCGATTGATTCGGAAATATTCCGTGTCCCTGAATATACTATTACGGAAGATTTCTGTCGCTCCTTTAACCTGTTCAAATCCAGTCTTGAAAGATAAATTCTCATTAAGGCAGGATCAAGCGAGAACTGTCGATGCTGAAAAGTTCAGGGTTTAAAGTTTAGAAGGAATCTTTAAATTCTTTCATTCAATATTGATGAGGTGCATGAGAAAAGAATGAGTCTGTTTGCGTTAACTCCTGTTTTCGTTTTGTGTATCCCAGCGTGTTTGAGGGATTGATACACATCCTACATTAGTTTTAACAGGTTCTAAGAGTCTGTTTCTAGCAGTATCACAATGTGTTTGCTATCTCCTGCAATCAGTTTTCTCGTCTCATAATTTGACAGTCCATTGAAATTGCTAAAAGAAATGTTATAACGATCGATTGAAGCGGAGAATCCTTAAAATGCTACAAATTAAACTATTATTTATTTGTTCCGATATAAAATTGACAGAAATATTTCAGTAGCTCAAACATTTCAGTCAGAATAGTCTTTGAAACTCATCCTTAAAATATGCTTAATTTAATCGTCAATGAACTGCGAAACGCCCGAAGGCGAATTGAGGCAAAAATTATGCTGAAATTACGACGAGCAAGCCAGCTTTAAAATGTCTGAATCCTTTATATGACAAAAATTTACAATTTTCCAACCAGTGGGATGAATTCGCGAAGATTGCGGTAGATTTAGTTCTGGCTTGTTTAGGCCATCTGGTGGATAATTTTGCCTCGGGGTAGTAAAATTTAATTTCCTGTTTTTCGACCTCTATCGTAGAATCTCTAGAGCAAACAATGCGCACAATCTGTCATAATCCGTGCATTGTTTTCGCTACAAGATTATGAGAGGGTTAGGGGTCAATTGTTAGATTAATATAAGCCGATACACGCTTAAAGTGATTTAGTTGTGAAAACATTGTTATGAATGGGATCGCGTTAGATAATTGATTGTCTTGATCGTAGCTGACTTTTATAAAGACAATTCTCCAAGAAAAGTTCATTTTTGCTGACCTCGTTAAGCTTTCTCGTTTAACGTGTTCCTTGTGGCGTAAAGTACAGTTCTTCAGGCTTCGAACTACTGCAGGTTCAGTGTCAAAACTATTGATTGATATTGTTAAAATCTTTTCACTAGAAACTAAATAAAGTGAAACATAGACTAGGCAAGTGGTGAAATATATCATCTTTATAGTATCACTAATTTTATTTACTTTAGAGTAAACGTTTAGTTGCATGTCTGCTCAATGAAAATTACTTTTTTTTAGACGCATTGTTAGTATGCGTGACAAATGATGACTTTGAACTTTATCTGTTTTGCGGCGAAAACAAGGAAGGATTGTTTTTAAATGATCTACACAATGTATACTGAAAGTTTGAAAAAAATTCACGTGGATCAAAGCTCTGAGGTTTATTCATCAATGAAGACCACACGGTCGAGTAACATTTGCAAACCGCAAAATTTATACAATGTTCAACGCCAAACAGCTACACCCATTTGTCATCAATTGTTGTGATGTCGGTAAAGTTACAAAAAAATTAAGGTTTTGTTTTTCCGTAGCGACCTGAGGCAATTTTATCATTGAGCAGATGGCGGCAACGCACTGATTAGAAGAATCGACAGACTACGACACAACACGTGTAAAGGTCTGTGTTAGACTCGAACTTGCAGGAAACCTCGATTTGTGGACTTTAATATTTGAAGTACCAGTTGTGTCGATGTAATTTGAAGAGGAATCTTTGACAATCTGGAAAGATACCACAGTGCTCAGTTTTATGACGCGAACGCGGAATATTGGTCACCCATCGTAACAAATACTGTAACCATGTTTTGACTAAGTCGTTTGTGGTTGAGCGTCTAACGAGACAATATCCCTTTGTGGGGCTAACTAAAAGCGCAACTCGTGTAGCTTTTATAAATGCGTTCTTTCTTCCTGATAGGGTAAGCTCGAAAAGGTCAAATCAACAAAGAAACACGCTGAGATTCGACAATGAGGCTGTTAGCTCACAATTCCACAATAATCTGTATTCTCTTTCCAATTGCCCATAATTCGCTCTGTTTGCCCCCCAAATTTTGCATAAACTATTGTCGTGAAATACTCTTGGGAGGTGTGCATATGCCAAAGAGCATTTCACAACAATAGTTTATGCAAAATTTGGGGGGCAAACAGAGTGCATTATGGGCAATTGGAGAATAGAGAATTGAAAACAACGCTGAGAAACAAACCTGACTGTTCAAAAGGCGTATAACAGTTTATTTTGTAGAACAACGAAACGTTGATAATCCCTTTGAACTGATGAAAAAATAAAACATAAATCATGCGGACTCGAAGGAAATAAATTAATGATAAATTGCGATGATAGTGGTGATTACTAACATGATTATCTTATTTCACAACATGTCCTCAGAGCTCAAATATTGGATTCTATAATACTTCCGTTTTAATATGATCAGAAAAATAAACAACGAGCTAGTTTGTTTAGAGTCTGTTTTAACTCGCTGATAAAAATTTGAAACGTACTTCAAAATATTTTCAGTCACTGATACGGTGTCGCCTTATAGAAATTGACCTAAATCTCAATTGCCTGGGTTGGGTGAACAAAATTAGATTGTTTTCACCCACTAAATTTTTAAGAGGGAATCCACCAGAAGTTTGAGTAACAAGTGGACAAAAATTTTGAACCAACAATATTTACATTGTATTGGGCCTTTCATGCGACTGTTTTAAATATCGTCTCAAAAGAAATCATTTCTAACAACACCAAATGTCGAAAACAAATGGTAAAGTACTGGCGAAATGACACTGACGCTGAAATTTTGCCTGTGTTTGCACAATTTCCCTGAACTTTAAAATTTATTTCTTCCACTTCCCATGGGAAATTGTTTATGGTATTATTTCTGGCAAATATTTATATATTTAGCTTTTAGAAAATGCAAAAAGGACTATAATATACTTAAAATTATCCTGGTACAAGGTTTTTGTCCACTAAAACTTGAAATTGCTTAGGGTTCCTATCAGATGTTGTGTGAAAATCACCATGAAATTTTAATTTCGAGAGACCGCGATGTTATTTTTCTCTGCGCTTTTTCAATCCCTTGTTATGTAGAGGAGGTAGGCCAGTATGTATCAGAATCATGACGCCACTTAGAATCTTATGAAAGTATTTATAAATGTATCTTTCATTGTATAAGATCACAAATAGCACTAGTCATTACCATCG